CAAACTGCAGTGCGACTGAGCTTTCAGGGCCGACGCATTAAGCAGTCGGGCTGAACGGTGAGAACATACAAAGATGACGCACCAATCAAGCTTTTGTCTGTCTCCCCCTCAGAGTGCAAAGATGTGAACACTGTGGCCTACTGCCCCCTGGTGCTCAGGTTCAAGTTCTGCAGCCGGCCATATTTCAGACAAATGTGCTGCAAGACGTGCCAGGGACACTGACTCCACGAGCATCCGGCATCCATCTTTGGGTCCTGCACACTCACACAGTAAGCCTGAAACCCTCCCACTGAGCCTCATAGCAGCACCCCTCACTCTGCCTCCGTCGCAGGAGCGTGGGATCTAACTGGGACGCCATCACACGGACGCCCGGTCCTATATCTGGTCGGAGGAGCTGTTATTCTCCAGCCAGGACCCAGATCGGACACCTCTCCGGGCCGAGCTGAGTTCATACATTCCACTGGAGGGAAGGCTGTTGAGACCTGGAGAGGCAGAGAGACTGAGATTACCTTCCCCCCTCTCTCTCTCTGTCTCTCTAAACTTTCCCTTTATTCTAATATTTTGGTGCTACTGTATTTCTCTTTGGCCACAGGACTGGTTGCAGTACTTTTGAACCCCGCTTGTTTGTTTGAGTGCCCGAAAAGTTCAGCCTTAGCTCTTGAACCTCTGTGTTAGGCGGTGATATTTGCTTAGTTAGTCGTTTTTCAGAAATCCACTTTGTAAAGACAATTATTTTCCGGATCATCCCCGCCCACAGAAAAGGAATACGGTTGCAGGTAGATCATCTGCGTCTATGTTATCAGATAGCTTTTACTTGACCGCGTCGTTTTTATGTCGTTGCTTTGTTCCGTGTCGGCGTATTCATCGAGTTCTCGCTGTTATTCAGCTGAAGTATGAGCAGAGTCCGATTTGCACAAAGAGTTTGAGGACTTTTGTATTTCGTGTTCGTTTTCGTGTGACTTGATGTCTGTGTGGAGACTATAAATGTCTCGCCGCGGTGAACATGCCACAGTCTTGCCATGTCGGTTACTTTGCTTAAACGTAATCACCTCGGCTGTACGACATCGCTTCTCTCGACGGCGCTTCATCCACGAAGGATCCAAATGAAGGAAAATCCACTCGTCAGAGCGCGCGGCGCGTCACGGTGAGCCAGCGCTGCCTGCGGGAACATGCACGGCGAGGATGAGAGAAGACACCTGACCAGGCGGCCTTTCAGAGAGCGTTGTTATCGCAGGGGTGCGCGATTCACAGGCGGCCTTAAGCCTTCGTTCAGACTCCTGTGGGAGCAACGCTGACATCACATTTCTCAGCTCACGTGTGGTCATGTCACCCTCTCAGCAGCTGGGAGCGCGCCAGCCACAGGCTCGCATTGTCTTCCCCGTTGCAGAGCAGGATTCATGCATGACCAAGTTTTAATGACCCACTTTTCCAAATGCAGTTTCAGCTGCTTTTATATTACAGATCATGCCGCCTACTGCGGCTCAGCATGATTCATCAGATCTGACGGCATAAGCGTGACATGTGATGTGCTCTGAAAGCCCGCTGTGGTTCCACTCTTCGCAGAAGTCCCCGCTGGTCACAGCTGAAAGCAGCGCCACGTAACGCTAAATGTCATCACAATGAGAGGAAGCTGCAGCACGTCTTTAATTGTTCTTCCCTTTTTTGTTTTCTCCTATGGTGCTCTGGTTTTGAATGGTGCTATCACTTCACTGTTGTTGCCGGTTTAAACACTTAGAATCTGTTTGAGCCTTTTGTGTTGAGTACTGACCTGCAGAGGTGGCCTGTGGCGTGCAGCTGCTTGGGGTCCTGCACCTGCCAGGCGCTGCGTTTGGGTTCCTCTGATTTTTCATACGTAACGCTGCTTTACTCGGGCTGCGGTCGAATAGTCAGTCTTTCCTGGGAAGCGTCTACGTAGCAGCTGTAAGAAGAGCTCCGGTGCGTCTTTATTACCTCATTTAGCAGATGAGTCCTTTTTTACACAGCCGGCAGAAAACGCGGCAGGATCAGGCCGAGCAGGTGACCTGTCCCAGCACGGTAGACCCGCCTGCCCAGCATTAGGCAGCCCACTGCCATGAATCCTCCTCCACATCTTTCTGTGACCTCATCATGCTTCCCATCCATGTCAGCAGGGAGCAGGAACGTTTCCTTCTTCTTTTTCCTTTTTTCCTCCAGCTGTTCGACTGCAGCCTTCAGTGCAGCGCCTTCAAATCCCAAAGTGCAGCTCACCACATTTGTGGATCGTTTGAAAAACAAAACATTTTGATATTCAGAAAACTGACTTTTGGAGATCTGTGCACAGCTTCTCAAACATTACCCTGCTAATCATCAGTGCCGAGAAACACTAAGTATATTTATAAGAAGCGCACTCGGGTATAACCTGTAACATTTGAGAGCGTAATTGTTGCAGAGAATCCCGTTAAAGCTCATTTACACCTGGTACCGACTCGCGTCAGCTGCGCACGCGTGATTGTGTCACGGTGCAAACGCTGGTTAGCGTCACAGATGTAGTTCACGTCTAAATCGCTTTTAATGATCGAACGCTGAAGCGACGGCGTCGCCGCTGTCACGTGTGCACGAGCCGACAGGGAGGAGAGCCGCTGAACGTTTCCCTGCATCGACATCACTGATACCAGGTGTAACTGTGGAGCTATGACGAGAGCGCAAACCCGACTTACCTGATCCAAGAGGAGGGACAGCTTCAGTGTTTGTTATTCTGTTTTACACATGCTAATTATAACATGACATGTACTGTATATTGTTTAATACTATAGAAGACGAATCCATTTGTCCCCCATGTAAATCTTTTGTCAAAGGAAATATTAAAAATGATTAAACGTGGTGCAATGTTGATTGTAAGGATTTCTTTATTTTCTCATTAGAATTTTAGGTTTCCGGCATCAAATCTGTCATCCATATTTGTACGTATGACACAGCTGGACTAAAATATCACCGCGTGTCATCCCGCCCGAGGTTTAGATCGTCAGGTCGTCTATTTCTGGATCTGCCCTCTGTCACGGAAAAGTTGACACAAGAACCTCTTCCTTTTGTCTCAGTGAGACTTCACTCGTTTACCGATCTTTAAAATAATGAAAATGGTGACGTGAAAGTTTCTCGATATTTTTATGATACATTTTTATTTATTTAAAGCCGAGGAAAATTTAGTTTGCTCAGATTCTTTAATACTAAGAATGCCACAGCAGCGTTAACTCAGCAGAAGTTCCATCCATCCATTTTCCTCGTGTTCAATTCAGGGTTTAATACAATAATCAAGTCTAAATAAAAAACTCCTGTGCAGATCCATAATAATAATAATAATAACTTTATCAATAATAACTTTATTGATCCCATTCACTCAGTGAAGCATGTAATGTAGGAAACCACATGACTCTCAGTTTGAAATCTGAACAAAGCGTCCTCTCAGTTTCTGTAGATCTATATCTATAGAGAGAGACCTTGGGGTTATTTGCTCAGCTTATCAGGGTCGCGGGGGGGGCAGTCTTAGGGCGAGAGGCAGGGTGCACCCTGGACAGGTCACAGGGATAACACAGGGAACCATTCGCACTGCCACATCCACACCTATTTAGAGTTTCCAGTTAACCTAACCCCACTAACTGGGTGTCTTTGGACTGTGGGAGGAAGCCAGAGCACGCAGACACGGGGAGAACATGCAAACTCCACAGACCTTCTTGCTGTGAGGCAAACGTGCTAACCACCGTGCCACCGTGTGTATATATATCTCTATATTTATCTATATAGATATATTTTTTCTACTTACTTCTTGCTTTTCTACTCTGACGGAGCACTCAAAGAGCTTTACACAGGCTAGTGTACATATCCTTTCTTATGGATAGAGGCGGGCAGCGGTGGCACTGTGGTTAGTACTGTTGCCTCACAGCAAGAAGGTCTGTGGAGTTTGCATGTTCTCCCCGTGTCTGCATGCTCTGGCTTCCTCCCACGCTCCAAAGACACCCAGTTAGTGCGGTTAAGTTTATTGGAAACTCTAAATTGCCCATAGGTGTGAATGTGAGAGCGAATGGTTGTTTCTGTGTGTTAGCCCTGCGACCTGTCCGGGGTGTACCCCGCCTCTCGCCCTAAGACAGTTGGGATAGGCTCCAGGGGCCCCGCAACCCTGAAAAGGATAAGCGAATGGATGGATAGAGGACTCGAGAACCTAACTGCTGTTTGACAAAACCCATCTGCTGTTGGATGAGATTAACCAGTCAAACGTCTGTAACAGATTTTATGAACATCAGTGTAGCTACAGAGAGAACCTACAAGCCAAGAAAGGCTAGATACAAATAAATGCATTGAAAAGATTTAAAAAATCAAAGAAATGGACACCAATATTTGTCTATAAGCAGATCATAGGACAACCATTAGTAAACAGATGGAATCATCAGACTCAAACGCTGGGCTGATGTTTAAAGATTCCAGCTGTTCCAGCTGTTCTCAGCTCCTCTGGCTGACGGTCCCGCACCGGTTCATACACGGCGAGCGTGAGAAACACAGGCACCGAGGCGAGACGTGAAGTGCTTTAAAAGGATTTTAAAATCAGCAGCAGCTCGCTCCTGCGTTCCCTCCGGTCCTCGTGTGAAGCGGGTGTAGAACGTTTAGTCGGAGAAAGTTTCTTCCTCTGTGCTTTAGAAGCATTGACTGAAATTTACACCCGCACGAGGATCTAGAACAAATTTAAAAGGAATCGAGGCCGCTGGTTTAGGTCACAGCTCGAGCAGCTGAGCATGCACCACAGGCCTAAATGCAGGCCTGCATTTGTCTCTGTGGTCCCGTGTTATTAGGAGACACGGCCGCATGCAAAACACATCGCTATATATTATGTGCAACACCTGAAAAGAGACTGAGTTAAAAACGGTAGAAGTAATTAAAAGGAGGCTCATGAGACAACCTCGAACACACTAGTGAAGTTCCAACCACAAAGACACAAAACTAAATACAAACTAAGAAAAACGTGACTTTAAACGACAAGAGAAAAAAAAGGAGTGCACTGACAATAATGAGAAACAATCAGAGGTGCAATCACAGAGAAACCCCACATCTGAAAGAGTCACAAACCCGCCCGTGAATGAATGAGACCTGACCCTGCGCTGGCACGCGCATCTTGCAGGAGCTTTAAAGACTCTCGATCCAGCTGACGTAAAACACAGGAAAACCAGCAACTGACACCTCCACTCACACACTACAAAGTCGACTCTGAATGAACCCGTCTGTTATTATGGGCGTTGGAGGCAGCAGCCTCTCTGACAAGACAAACACTATGAGAAGCCGCTACATGAAGCGACCACAGCCTGGGTGGAGCCGCTAACACACGGCTGAAACACCATCATTTGGCAACTGATTTAAGATAACTATCCCCTTTCTGCGGATGAGCGTCGCTTGCCGTCAACGCTCGCCTGCTGGCGAACTGGGCTGACTAATTGTGCCGTGGACCCGGCCGTCGTTTCTTCATCCTCCCGTCTGACGACTCCGAGCATGACAGAGCGCAGAATGGAGAAGTAAGCGGCTGGGCTTCATGCGGTGAGTTAATGTGCATCAGTGTGTGTTAGAGCAGTTCTTGTTTCACACACACTGCCGGTGGGAGTATGAGGAAGTAGGTTTTTGAATGCTGTACTGGATGTCTTGTAGGGTGCTGGTTGCTGTTGGCTGTCCTGGTTGTGCGATGGCAGCAATCTAAGGTCAACCTGTGGATTTTTTACAACACGCGCAAACCCCCCCCCACACCATCTCTCTGGACAGTGGACGGCTGAGGAGGAGAGAGGCCCGCGGGAACAATGGTACAGTACAACCACCTGCATCTGCTCTCACAGCTGTAACATTTTGTGCATTTCAGTTACCTGTTTGCTGTGGTTTTCTCGGCTGAAAGGGCGAATTGTGATGGCTTTGTACGTTTTCAGTCAGTTTTCTTTTGCAAAGCAAATTCAGCTCATGTCACTTTTCTCCTTTTCTAAAAGCCAAAGGAGGATTTTTTGTGCTTTAAAGTGAGTTTTGGCATCAGAAGAGATGAGATAAGATCTCTTCAGGGGAATTCATCTCCTTCACAGCAGCAGAGTGATGTTTCCTCTTTTTCAGGGACAAGCTCACTTTCTCACAGACTCGAGCTTAAAGCAGTGCTGTGCGATTTCAATTTGAGGCACAGGTAGAAACTTTCAATATCATAGACAGAGTAAGAAAGTGACCAGTCGAGCAGGAAAGACAGATGAGCTTGAATTTAAAGGGAGGATAATGAGGAGTGGTGCACTCGAGGGGGCTAACGGACCGAGCTGCAGGCAGCTGCAGGAAGAGAACTGGTAGCATGTACAAAGTTTAGAGGGTTTCACAAGATGCAGCGATGAGGTGTGAGAGGGGAAGTGGACTACAGGAGAGGCCTGCAGTTTCTGTCACAACACTTCCTCCTTGCACACAGAAGGTCTCCACACATCCAGGATCGCACAGCAGTCGTAGCTGCACCAGCAGCCACATCTGACAAATGGAGGTAAACGAGCAGTTTCAAGAGGGAAGAGAGTGAAAATGCACGCCCAGCTCCCTGTTTACATGCCACCTTTACATTTAGGCTCCGAGCCATTTATCTGTCATCATCTCAAGTGTGACAAAAGCTTTCAAATCTGTGTCGCGCTCGCCTGTTTACACATGACAGCAAAGGAAGAAAAGGAACAAAACCGTGCCCGACAGAAATAAATTATGAGAAGTGTCAAATGCATCACAGGGTCGTCTTTTTCTTGCTTTCTTTAAACAACTGTGCAGAAAGTTCCGGTTTGATGTGGAAAGCTTTTGAGATTCAACGTCTGCTGATAACCACACCTCACCGCAACTGACTGGCATGTAGTTTGTGGTTCTTAAGGTGTTGGATATTTGCATTACTTTTTTTTCTTTTAAAGGCGGCTGGTCTTTCAGTGAAGACTAGTGTGATGTCATCACAGCTAAAAAACAGGAACATGTTTTTTTTCTTCCTGGTGGACGATGTTGACTTTTTAAAGGTTGTATAAACATAACTAATAACTTTACCTCTATAATAGTCTCTCCAGTCCTACAAACCTACTCCTGAACTAGTTCAATACACGAGTATCCACTTAATCTGTACACAGCTCCATTTAAAAATGATATAAGGTTTAAAGGAGGTCAGCTACTGCGGGCAGCCGATGATTTAATCTCAGTTAAATGGCATCTACTTACCCCCTTGCTTTGCATTTTAATATTGTAGGAAAAAATCAGAGTATCAGAAAGCATCAACAACAATCATGTGACCCCCTGTTAGCATCCAACTGTCAACAGTGGGAAGAAAAAACTCCCGTTTAACAGGAAGAAACCTCCAGTGGAATCACGTTCAGCCATCTGCCATCGAGACAGGACGACAGGCAAACTCTTACTAATTGCTGGTGTGTGATAATCTGTTAACCAGCAACGACGTTTGTGTATCAGCTCATCAGTAGGTGATCATTAGAAACCAACACCGCATCAAAGCCGTTTAACCTCTTCTAGTAAAATATTAAAGACGATCGCAGATTCTGATCTCGCAGAACATAAAAATCTGGTATTTGAGTTCTATTTAAAGAGACGCTGATCTCTGCTATTTCTCTTCTAGTCGTGTTGTCATCACGTCACTGAAAGGCACCGAAGCTGTGAACTCATCCTGCCAGCAGCACTGTCCGAGTGCTGACGCCTTCATTTATAACAGTCGTTACAGGGCAAATTCATATTGATCCACGGATTAAAATAGTCCCCAGCTTTGGCGTAGTTTGGGTCTGTTTAATGGAGTTTGTGTCAGAGTCATATCTGATTTATGCTTTAAGCTCAGAGGGTGTGAGCACTGGCACGTATATGAGAAAAAAGAGACTCGCGAATTAGCTTTAAGCTTGTGACTTCCGCCCGCTCTTTCCCCCTCAGGGGCTTTAAATTCAGAAACAAAAGCGCGCACTAAACACGCATGCATGCTGTGCTTATTTAAGACACTGATATGTAATCATGCCCGTCACACACGCAGCATCTGTATGCATCGTTCTTTGTTGGCGTTTGCACACTGACAGTGTTTCATAATGAAACTTTGTGTTTCTATTTTTTGCTGATGAGCTAAAAATGAAGCATCAGCAGAATCTGTTTGTAGAGGTTCTGCTAATATTTGTGGCTAATTAAGCGTTTATTGTTTTTCATAAGAAGGGACTGAAACCAGCAAGATGTTAAAAAATCTAAGGAAATACGACTTCTTAGCACGAGGTTTGTTACAATGTGCAGCGCTTTTCTTCATGACGTGTAGAGACGGAGGTAGAGGTCACGCTCACCGAGGTCATAGATGAGCACAACAAGCTCACCAAGTGACAAAGACGTCATAACCGAGATGGTGAAGTGACAGATTGGTTCTTCAACTGTGGCTGGATCCTTCAGCCTCTTCTTCACCCACTTTGGCAAAGAGACCTCCTTTGTGTTTCCCCAGCTTTCACCCATCAAACACAGTTCAGGCTGAAATAACAACGAGGCGAGCGCTCCTGAGCTGAAACTGTGGAAACAATCAGTTTATTGCTAGTTTATCTTCGCCTCCTGTGTAGGTGTCGCATTGTGTTGAGGCAAATTAGAAGAAGCTTCTCTAAAATGTCCGAGCTAGAAAATGAGCTCACCTCATCTGTGACCAGTTTCCTGGTAACGAGCCCCGAGCTTCCTGTAATGACAACCACACTGGTAATTGTGTTTTTGGCTTTACTGATGCCAAAGCTTGAAACGCTTTCATTTGAAATCTTCGCTGGGCCTCCTGTTTTCTTTTTTTACATGTCTTTCTTCCTTTGCTTCGTTTTTGGTTTGCTCGTTTCCTTCCTTCCTTCGTGATGCCCACACGGCTCTCTAAAGCTCTCGTCTCTACAACAAACACTAATATTGTTTCAAAATGCTTATTTTTCCGGTCCAAATTCCCACTCAGCCACAGAGTACGCTGAGCTACGCTGCTTTTGCGTCACAGCGTGTGGTAGTTTCTTTGATGAGGAAACCCAGCTTGAGTAAAATGTCCTTTTAAAGATTATTGCAACACGTCGTTACTAACAGAGTCTTCCTCTCCTCTGCGATTCAGGCAAAGTACCACTGGCAGAGTCAAAATGTCAAGCAAAGCGGCGTGGACGACATGGTCCTCCTGTCAAAGATCACCGAAGACGCCATCGTGGACAACCTGAAGAAGAGATACATGGACGACTACATCTTTGTATCCTACAAGCTGTGTTTGATGTTGTAAATTATACCTGCAGTCTGACGGGAACTAAAGGCCTCTATTTAAACTGTCCCCACAATCTGCTCCATCTTCACATTGAATCTCGCTAAAGAACCCGAACGTGAAAGCATGAAGTGAAAAATCACCTTGGCTGAAATGGCCTTCTTCCATATTTGTGTACAGTCTTCTTATCCACCCACAGATGTGCTGATCAAAACACAAATTCACACACAATCAAACAAACATATATGGGCATAAATACAAGGAATGCACTCTTCCTCTTCTGAGTTCACCGTGTGACTCAACAGTCCACTTCCGTCTTCTGAAAGCACAGCTGAACGTCAGAGCCATATTTAGAGAAAACACCCATCCATGTTAAATCCTGAGTGAGAGCGAGTTGATGTTATATCGAGAACGACTCGCTTAGATAAGAAGCTGTTTGTTAATCACGTCCGGTGTCTTTGGTTAGGGTTACTCTCCTGTTAACGTGGGATCCTTGGGTAATGCAGGCCTCTGTCTTACCAGTCTTATCAGTGAGGAAGTGAACTGATAACGACACTGATCATGTCTGTCACACGTGGCTTTATTTAGGTTACAATGGATTCATGACTTTGGTATTTCCCCTTCCCTCCATCTGGCAGGTGGGCCCCATGGGTAGTCATTCAGGTCGGTGAGCACCAGGCAGATTTGGCTTTGACATTAGCAGAAATATGTCAGCGATGATGTCACCGTGACATTTTGGTTCAGACTTCGTGTACGGTACGAGCGTGAGCTGAAACTTGTGATTTGCTTCAGCCTCGGTGTTTGAAAGCGCGCTGATGCGAGGGCTGCCAGCGTATACTTTGTCTGTTTTCTGTTTCACCTGCAGAGTGAAAGCGTGAAACCTGCCCCCCAGGAAGCTATTAGAAGATGGGGTGTTTGAAGGTGCCTAACATTAGCTTTAGCTCATATGTCAACAGAACAAAGCAAAAACATTTCACTTTCTTCAAAACGTCTAATGTACGTACGCTCTGTTTAAGCGTATTTAAACCATATGATGCATCATTCCCAAACTTTCCTCAGCCGCCCTCTCCAGACTTACATCGGCCCTGTGTTGATATCTGTTAACCCCTTCAAACAGATGCCCTACTTCACTGACAGAGAGATTGAACTCTATCAAGGAGCTGTGAGTGAATTTTCATCGCCGTCTTCTCATGACTTCTTTAAACTTGTGGCATATGTGGTGCAGAGGTTCTTCCTGTTGCCTGCTGTTGCCCTATGCTCGTTTTACTCAAACTGACCTCAAACCGTTTCGCTCTACAGGCCCAGTATGAGAATCCACCGCACATCTACGCCTTGACTGACAACATGTACAGAAACATGATGATTGACGGGGAGAATCAGTGTGTTATCATCAGGTGAGTTTTCTGCTTCCCACGCTGACGCCCATGCTGTGCCGTGCAGGTATGTTTGACAATAAAATATGGCTTTGCGGTGTGTTGTCTGCCTTTTTTTACGTGGCTGCGGTAGCGGTGAGAGCGGTGCTGGGAAGACAGTGGCTGCCAAATACATCATGGGTTACATTTCCAAAGTATCTGGAGGAGGATCGAAAGTGCAGGTACAGACCGTATGCTCGCTCCGCCTTACATGAATCTTCAAAATGAGTCAAAAAACCTTTAAACTTCCTTCAGTGTGGCGTGGAGGTTTTTCACTGTCTGGTGTTGTGTTAATGTTTGTGTGCATGTGTGTGGCAGCATGTAAAAGAAATCATCCTGCAGTCAAATCCTCTGTTGGAAGCCTTTGGTAATGCCAAGACTGTTCGCAACAACAACTCTAGTCGTTTTGTAAGTATGAGTTTTTTACTTGAAGACCTGGTGTGGATGCTTTCTATCAAGTTTATAGTTATTAAGTAATATACCTGCTCATTTAAAAAGAAAAACAAAAAGAAGTCAACCCCACACCCCAAAAATAAAACATTCAAGAGTTCAGCAGTCACGTATAATTTTTTCACAAATAAAGGCCCAGTGTTCTTGATCTGAACCCTTTCAAGTATTCAACTATTTATGGATCCTTCGCAGTTTTAAGCTCGACTTACACTTCTGTGGTAAATCTACACCCTCACAACGTAACCGTAACCAAGAGAAATCCAACAATCAAATGAACCCTTTCAGCAAGCACTCTGCATCAGTGGGAAGGAAAAACTCCCTTTTAACAAGAAGAAACCTCTGGAAGAACCGGGCTCGGGGAGGGCAGGAAGCCGGGACAAAGGAACACCAGGTTACCTGGAAGAGCACTCGCTTTAGCTTGCTGAGTGTGCTAGTTGTAAAAAAGCTAAGATGGTGAGCTTTATAAACAGTACCCATGCTGAATATCAGCTTATTATATTAGAGAAATACCCTCAGCAATCCCACGATCCCCTATGAGCAAGCGCTTGGCAACAGTGGGGAGAAAGAACTCCCTTTTAAGGCCTCCAGTAGAACCAGGAGTGTCAGAAAATACACAAACTCTGTGGGAGGGAAGACAAGGTGTAGTGGCACCAACAGCAGCACATAAACAGACGGGAGCGGAGAACAAGTGCTCATTGTGTTTTGGAAGTCCCCCACCCGCCTGATTCAGTTTTATCTATGACCTTTATCAAAAAAAGGAACGCTTTAATCTTAAAACTAGCGCGTGTGTCTGTCCTCTGAATCCAAACTGGAAGGTGGCACCGCTGTAAAGCGTCCTAATAGCTAAAGGCTCCGCCCTCTGTGCTACTTTTGGAAATTCTAGGAGTGAGAGTGAAGTGCTCCATTGGAATAACACGGTACTATGATGTTTTTAAGGTGATTAGCTAATATTAGCATGTAAGTAATAACAGCTGTCTCCAAGCATTGCAGAGCGAGGTTGTGCAGAGCCACATATGTGCCTGTAGCCTCATTACAAGTGATTTATTACAACGTGCACTTCAACAACACTTTTATTGCATTCATTCTGGTTTCTCATCAGAAGGTCCTAATGATGTGACATCACACCCATAAACCACCCTGACCTGCATGTCTGCAGCTTTAGTGTGAGATATCAGAAGAGCAATTAGTTATATTTCCTGTTACCCTTTGTACACCGTCACAGCTCTCGTGTACTGAGCGTGCAGTCAGATGCACGCATATATTTTCTGACTCATATAAATGTAGTGAACATGGAAGTGGTTTATCTTTAGGAAACGGTCGCATGATTTGAGAACCGTCTCATCCTGAAAGCAAATTTTGACACTGACTGATCTGCAATAATGAGTGAGGACAGATTTCCTCGCAGCCTCGTTTCTCAACTCCAAGTGTTGACTTTGATTTTTACATTAATCAGGGGAAATACTTTGAGATCCAGTTCAGCAGAGGAGGGGAGCCAGATGGTGGAAAAATATCAAACTTTCTGCTCGAGAAGTCAAGGGTGGTCAGCCAGAACGAGAACGAGAGGAACTTCCACATTTACTATCAGGTGAGAGGTCGATGAGCACAAACCGCAGATTAATAGCAACTCCTTTAAAAAAAAAAAGACAGAGTTCCTCTTAAGCTGCAAGATCTTCATTCAATATGAAGCCAGTGTGTGTGTGTGACTCCTGCTGGGCCTGCGTTGGTGTCTTCCAGTTGATAGAGGGAGCTAGTGCTCAGCAGAGAGAGGCCCTGGGCGTCATGACTCCTGATTATTACTACTACCTCAACCAGTCTGGGACATACAAGGTGGATGGGACCAATGACAGCAAAGACTTCCAGGAAACTATGGTACGCAAACTTATAGGTGGGATCCAGTGGTGTTCAGCAAACCTGTGCTTGGTCCCAGGTTTGCTGTGTGGAAAGTCTGATCAATGCTTTGTAGCTAAACCCATTATAGTGGCTCTAGCTGATCTACATTGATTGCTGGCAGGAAATAAAATGTGGACGTAAAGTAGTTCTGCTTGACGTCTCCTCACGTTGTGGTGAAGCTGCTGCCGTCACACTTTCTTCTTGGATTTGTTCTTCAGGAGGCCATGCAGGTGATTGGGATCCCAGGTGACATCCAGACGCAGGTGCTGCAGATCGTTGCGGGTATCCTCCACCTGGGAAACATTAGCTTCATAGAAGCAGGCAACTATGGGCAGGTGGAAAGCACAGACTGTGAGTGCGACACACACATCTTCTGTTCACATGCAGTCATACTCCCGCTGGATATCACCATAACAAAGGTCGTCCCCGGCACACGCCCTACAAATGAATAGAATCTCTACATACAGACGACTTCCCTGTTTACTGCCTCAGTAGATAATTGGTGGTTGCATCCAAAGCAGCAATGATACCCTCCGTTGGCTTCTGTCTAGGGAGGGTATCATTAATTCATCATAGGAAGTCTTTGCTTATGGCATAATAAAACACATCTGAATTACGAGTCCGTTTTTGGCACGATTGAACTACAACTTGACTTTGCTTTGCTCCAGTGCTCGCATTCCCCGCCTATCTGCTGGGCATCGACCCCAACCGTCTGCAGGACAAGCTGACCAGCCGGAAGATGGATTCAAAGTGGGGAGGGAAGTCTGAGTCCATTAACGTGACCCTGAACCAGGAGCAGGCCAACTACACACGAGATGCCCTGGCCAAAGCGCTGTATGCACGCCTCTTTGACTACCTGGTGGAGGTAATCACGCTTGATGATGCAGCTGAGCAAAAACAGATTAAAGAAAATGAAACATTTGCTTTGAATTCAGCTGACATGTATTCACGCACCTCATCTGCTCTTTGCATTTGTCTCGTGTCCTTACTTCTCCAGTCTATAAATAAAGCCATCCAGAAACCATATGAGGAATTCAGCATCGGAGTGCTTGACATTTATGGCTTTGAGATATTCCAGGTTAGGCTTCTCATAACTTCCAGATACTTAACCTTTGCACGCATCCACTAAAAGACTAAATGTGTGTTTAATAGCAGGATTTGTTTCATCTCTTACTGACTGTGTTGTATTCGCTTCCTCAGAGAAACGGTTTTGAGCAGTTTTGCATCAACTTTGTCAACGAGAAACTGCAACAGATCTTCATCGAACTCACCCTGAAGGCTGAGCAGGTAACTATAAATAAAACGATATAAATAGAATTGAATTGTAACTGCACTGTGCAGCGCATGCATTTGACTCCACTGTGTTTCAGTTGGTGAGGATCACTGTATGTCCTCAAACCAAATGTTTTGCTCTCATTGTCTCTCAGGAAGAATATGTTCAGGAGGGCATCAAGTGGACGCCCATCGAGTACTTCAACAACAAGATCGTGTGCGACCTTATTGAAAATAAACTGGTAAGCTCATAAACGCGATGACTGACGGAGGGTTTATGCAGATCGTGTAAAACTGGCTCTCATTAGAAAACAAGTGGGCCCCTAAAGCAGCGAGAGTTTGGTGCTCTGCTTCCTGAAAACAGTGAAACGGAAGAACAGAGCGCTCGGGGTCACAACAGGAAGAATCAAGTCACGTGACCAAGATATAGCAGTAACATCGGGGGTAACATTTGCATTTTGTTTTTGGAAAAGTTTTATTGCACATTTATTTTCACAGTAAATCAGATAATATATGATATTCCCAAAAGCCAAAAATGGAAGAAGAAAAGACATATGAGGCATTGGTGGAGGAGCTGCAGTTTTATCTCCTTGTATGAATTTGTGTGTTTGAAGTGTTTGACTGGATGACTAAAAAATGGGGATTTACATGCGGTCTACAGACATCAGGCTTTCAATCAAACTACTGTATAAAAGTAACTTTATATAAGTTTTACTCTGGTCTTTAAAGCTCATATTAAAGCTCTACACATGTTTACTGGGAACCTCTAATTCAATTTGAATTCAAAAACATTACAATCAAAAGTTACCAGGTGGTCATGTCAGAACATTTTGTATTATGTAACTGCACGTGTGCTAATTTGTATCAATTTCTGGTGGTGGTCAGAGGGCCCGGTGGCGCCAGAGTCCGGCAGCCTCGCCTCTGTCAGTGCGCCCCAGGGTGGCTGTGGCTACAATGTAGCTGCCATCACCAGTGTGTGAATGTGTGGATGACTGGATGTAGTGTAAAGCGCTATATAAATGCAGGCCATTTACCATTTCTAACAGATATTTCTTATTCGTTTATCTAAAAGTTATCAAAACTCGTAAGAACAAAATCGCAGCTAAAAAGCCGTCGTCTCTTTGCAGAACCCTCCGGGTATAATGAGCGTGCTGGATGATGTGTGCGCCACCATGCATGCCAAAGGAGAGGGTGCAGATGGCACTCTGCTGCAGAAACTGCAGGCTGCTGTGGGGACGCACGAACATTTCAACAGCTGGAACTCGGGCTTTGTTATACATCACTACGCCGGGAAGGTAAGATTTGATTTTGTTTGCTCGATGTGGCGCTTATAAACCTCAAAGATTTGTTTTTGGGGGTTTTCAGTGAAAATATCTGGTGTCATCGCAGGTGTCGTATGATATCAACGGCTTCTGTGAGAGAAATCGGGACGTGCTTTTCCCCGACCTCATCGAGCTCATGCAGAGCAGTGAATTGTGAGTTTCCTGTACTGGTCTGATTGTTGCACTGAAGGCGTAATTTAAAAAAAACAATGCATTAAAAAAACGTGTCTCTTTAGTAACTTCATCCGTAGCTTGTTCCCCGAAAACCTCAACACAGATAAAAAAGGAAGGCCGACCACGGCAAGTTCAAAGATCAAGGTGAGAGCTTTTCAATCTGTTGACGGTTGATTTTGTGCAGCAGCGCATTCGTCTCACGCTGTTGTTTCCCTCGCAGAAACAAGCGAACGACCTGGTGAACACGCTGATGAAGTGCACGCCGCATTACATCCGCTGCATCAAACCCAATGAGACAAAGCGGCCGAAAGACTGGGAGGAGAGCAGGTGAGAATGCTCGCCGTCACGCTTTGAGGAACTCTGAAAGATTTCACAGGGAACGTTTGCTGATCAGCGGCGCTATCTGTTTTTAGGGCCAGGCATCAAGTAGAATACCTCGGACTGCGGGAAAACATCCGCGTACGAAGGGCTGGATTCGCATATCGGAGACTCTTCAGTAAATTCCTGATGAGGTAAGTTTAATCGTGCGTGTTCATGGAATCCTGCCTGAAAAAAGACACACAGCTCTCACTGTGATTTGTTTGTTTGGTGCTTTTTGAATCCAGGTACGCCATTCTGACAGCCGAAACATGGCCGTGCTGGAGAGGGCCAGAGCAGCAGGGGGTGCTTCACCTCCTTCGCTCCGTCAACATGGATAACGATCAGTACCAGATGGGACGCACCAAAGTCTTTGTGAAGAACCCCGAATCGGTACGGAGCTTCATATTTTATATTCCCTCAGGCTGCATATTTGTTGAAACCAGTGTTGTAACATAATCAACTTATCTTGGCGATCGTGGCTCAAGAGTTGGGAGTTCGTCTTGTAGTCGGAAGGTTGCCGGTTCGAGCCCCGGCTTGGACAGTCTCGGTCGTTGTGTCCTTGGGCAAGACACTTCACCTCCCGCCTACTGGTGGTGGTCAGAGGGCCCGGTGGCGCCAGTGTCCGGCAGCCTCGCCTCTGTCAGTGCGCCCCAGGGTGGCTACAGTGTAGCTGCCATCACCAGTGTGTGGATGGGTGGATGACTGGATGTGTAAAGTGCTGTACAAATACAGGCCATTTACCATTTACAAATAAAGAATATCATTGCCTGATATAAGCTCTCGTACATCTCAGTGAGGTAAAGAGCAGAGAAGATTATGCTGCATGTGTTTTTTGACTCATCTCAGCAGGACGATATTAATGTTGCTGCGCTCAAATGTTTGCGTGAAAAGGGACTGAAATAGCTTCAAAGATTAAAAAAGTTCAGACCACAGCTACTTTCTAACCTCCACATAGCTGCAACATGTTGGGGGAAGTTTTTCAGTGAAACAGGCTTGACAGCAGCTAATAATACTGCCTCAGCTGGTTCATTAACCACTTTAATTCCATTTAATGTATAAAAAAATATTAGTCCTTTATTTTTTATTAGTCCTTTATTTATCCAGGTAAAAACTCTCATTGAGATTAAAAATCTCATTTCCAAGAGAGACCTGGCATATATTGAAATATATATATTGAAAGGCAAAGACTCTACAAAAATACAGAGGAAACTCCGGCAATCAGACGAGCTCCTGTGAGCAACGATTTGGTGATAGTGGGAAGGAAAAACTTCCTTTTAACAGGAAGAAACCTCTGACAGAATCCGGGGGAGGAAGACGGGACAAAAGACACACTGAGACAGAGAGCCAGATATTAATGATAACTAATGATTAAATGTAGAGCGGCACATAAACACGGAGAGAGTGATAAAGGGGGAGTGAAGAAGAAACACCAAGTGCATCATGGGAATCTCCAAGCAGCCTGGGTCTATTGCAGCATAGCTAAGGGAGGATTGAAGGTCACCCTGCTCTAACATGCACTAAACCTGCAGAAATACTCATGCACATATGCCTTTCAGCTGTTTCTGCTTGAGGAGATGAGAGAGAGGAAGTTTGACACTTTTGCCAGAATCATTCAAAAAGCCTGGAGAAAATTCATCGCGAGGAAGAAGTACGAACAGATGAGAGAAGAGGGTGAGTTACACAAACGGCGAGATTCCCCGCACAGGTTGCACCAAAGAGCTTGAGTTGGTTTTAGAAATGTTTGTTGTTCCTTGTGACTCGCAGCCTCAGACATCCTGTACAACTCCAAAGAGCGGAGGAAAAACAGCATCAACAGGAACTTCGTTGGCGACTACCTCGGGCTGGAGCAGAGGCCTGAGCTGCGGCAGTTCCTCGCCAAGAGGGAGCGCGTCGACTTCGCTGATTCGGTTAACAAGTTTGATCGCAGGTTCAAGGTTTGAATTCTTGTGTTTTCGTCCAATCAAAGAAAGAGTTGCAGTACTGTGCAAAAGTCTTGAGCCAATCCGTCATTTCTTTATATTCTGCTAGAAAAGTGATTTATTGAAACATGTTGCAAACATACATGGAAATAGAGTATAAAAGAGAAAAGGTGAGTTTTTACGTTCTAACAAGCTTGACGGTTTCGTGTGACCACCTTGATTCTTCAGCCTGAATTATCCTGGGCAGCTTTCTTTAAGTAGTCTTCAGGAATACTTCTTTTCTTGGCTCCTTGAAGGACATTCGCAGCTCTTCTTTGGATGTTGGCTGTCATCTGTTCTGCTCTCCATCAACATGACCCCACACTGCTGCAGCAGTGTTGCGGTCGAGGCTCTGGGGAGGCCCGTCCACGTGTGTGTGCTCGGGATGTTATATCAGGCATTTTTCAAAACTTTTTTATGTGTTGTGTGTAGAAACAAGCTCGATTGACTCGCAGGTCAAAAGCATTCCTCTGAAAACCGTCAGGCACAAGCAGCCAATCGCCGAGGAAAACAACTGAAAGACCTTCAGAAAGTCTGGAAAACTATTGCCTAAGAAAACGTTGATAAAAATAAGGAAATGAAGGGTGGCTCAAAAGTTTGGCAACGTACTCTCTGTTCAGTTTCTATAACAATAAGACCTTAAGATTTATAAAAGACATTAAATTCACGCTTTCTTGCTTGTTGTCGACTTCAGAAAAAATGTACCCAAAGAAAAAAAAGAAAACCCAACAATCATGTGACCCCTTATGAGCAAGCAAACTTGTTCATAGGGGGTCACATGATTGTTGGGTTTCTCTGTGTGTGTTATTGTAGGGTCGACCTTACAACATAAAGCACATCGAGGCGCCTGCTGCTGTGATTTGGCGCTGTATAAGTAACTGAGTTGTACCTTGTCCCCAGAGTCACCCGCTTTCCTTTTCTCCCCCCAACCCAGTCTATCAAGAGAGATTTGATCCTGACACCGAAAGGCATCTATCTGATTGGCCGAGAGAAGGTGAAGAAAGGACCTGAGAAAGGACAGATAAAGGAAGTACTAAAGCGGAAGATGGAGTTTGGAGGCATCAGCAGTGTCTCTCTCAGGTGTGTATCTAATTAACACAGATTCATTACTAAAATCTCTCATTTTTATGTAGCCTGTGCATGTTGTTACTGCTGCTGTTGCTGAAGTGAAAAATGTAACTGCATCCTCTGCTCTCTTCTTGCTGCTATTTTAACGCTTCCTTGAATGTCTTTCAGTGTTTCAGTTACCCGCACTGCTTCCTCTTTCTGTTTTTAAACTTCAGCAAGAGTGAGTTCATGGTATTTTTTTTTCCTTCTTAGTACGAGACAGGATGATTTCTTCATCCTCCACGAAGCCCAGTATGACAGTTTGCTGGAATCCAACTTTAAGACAGAGTTCCTCAGTTTGCTTTCCAAACGCTACGAGGAAGTGACAAAAAGAAAACTGACAATCTCCTTCGGTGACAGGTCGGTAGAGGAACACACAGCCTTTGTTAGCATGAGAAAAACACGCAGGGGTGACTAACGCAGGTTCTTCTTGCTTCAGGCTGGAGTTCAGAGTGAAGAAGGAGGGCTGGGGTGGAGGAGGCACCAGAATAGTAGTGTTCCAGAAAGGCCCTGGAGACGTGGCCCAGCTCAAACCTGGAGGGAAGACCCTGTCTGTCACAATAGGAGATGGTCTACCCAAATCCTCCAGTAGGTTAAAATAAGTCATGATGCCGTATAGACTTGAAAAAAGTAGGAACAAATTTAAATAGTAAATAAAATGCTGCCTGTATAAGCATCCTAACTGTCCCACTTCTTTTGATTAGAGCCAACCAGGAAGTCGTTTCCTCCGTCTTCTGGTGGAGGAAGAGGAGGAAGAAACCACGTAGCGCCCAATTGTAAGCCACTACTCACCTGTGATCCTCACTTGTGGAAAAACCCTTCCCAGTGGCTCAAAGTAACTAAACAGGAAGTGTGGATGTACTTATTGAAACATAAAGTACTGCAGTATTTACACTCTGTTGCATTTTGATTAACTTTTCAGCTGTTTCAATCATAATCCTTTTTACTTTGTGTATTGAACAGCCGATTGCTTACTTTGTACATCTAGGTCGTAAATAAAAGCTCGTTCAGTACGACATATGGCTGCCGTATGTGAAGCTGTAAAACAATAAAGCAGCAAAGGCACCAGTGATAACAGTCGTGTCATGTAACACTGAAATGGGCCGTTCTGAGTCTTTACCGTCGTACTGCTGCTCTGTTATTGAAGCACACGCTTCGTTCTCTCTCCTCAGCGCATCAGAACGGTGGAGCCAAATTCCCCAGAGGTCCTCATAACCCACAAGCCGATATCACGTATTCCTCCCCGCAAAAGCAGGGCCGACCACTCCAGGGAGGCCCGCCCAAACTGGGATCCCAGAGAGGGCCCCGACCTCCAGCGCCAAACCAGTACAACCAAGGAAACTTGGACTTCCTTAATGTGCCTGATCAGGGCATGTCAGGGTAAGACATGTTTAAAAAAGACATTAAAAAAGAAAGGAAGGTGTGGTTTGTAAGGGATTACCAAGGTGAGGCTGAAACCTGCGAGTAACTGAAAGTTAGAGCGAGGCAGAGAAACCTGTTTGTTTTTCACTGAATTACTGAATCATCTCTTCCATACTAGATGCTGTTTCACTGGTTTGGGGGGGGGGGTGTTCTGGGAACAAAGCAGTTCCTACCAGCTGCACTCAGAGGCGGGTCAGAAAGTCTGGTTAAATAAATGTTGGGGTTGAGAGAGATTTAAACACATTAATTCCTTAATTCTGGGGAGAAAAATCACGACAGCCTCTCTTTAATCCATCCAGGGTGTGGCGCACGCTGTTGGCTAAAGTCAAAGACTCTGTCAACGACAACAACACCCTGCTTTTATGTTTGTTTGTTTTTCAGCTGATGGTCTGTTATTCTGACCGCTGCTTTTTTGGGATACGGATGAGACCGGACTGGGATGAGTCCTGAGGATGTTTTAGCCGAGACTAGTGCTGGTTTGCAAAGTTCACTGACTGTGGTCTTAAACTGGATGCTGCATTCTGCTAAAAATGAATTATTAAAACAATCAGTAGTTAGAAGGAAACTGAACAGCTGATTCCTCAGAGGCAGCTATAATTAAGCCCAACTTTAAGCCTTTTAAGGGGTAAGTTTTACAGAAATTACCTCTCATACGGAGAACAAAGGGGATCAATATCTACAGAGAGCAAAACATATTTTTTCCTGTTGTAAATTTAGATATTTTAACATGAGATTTTATTGGGATTGACTCGCTTTTAGAGCCAGCCCCCAGTGGCCAGCTGAGGAACTGCAGCTTTTGGCACTTTTGCCATTTTCAACCCACGCGTGACAGTTAAAAGTTAATTTGATTCATGTTAGTAAATAAATAAGATGTGAATAAATTATGGTCATGAGCACCTCCTTTTTCCCCCTTTGTCACAGGAAGCAGAGGAAAATGAGCATCCCCCAGCGACCTCCTCCTGCTCCTAAACCGCAGCCTCGACCTCAGGGTCCTCGCTGCCGGGCGTTATATCAGTACGTCGGCCAAGACACGGATGAGATCAGCTTCGAGGCCAATGATGTGTTAGATCTTGTCAAAGAAGGTGCGTGCACGAAAGCAACGACATGTAGGGAGATGCATATTGATGAGATAGACTGGAAGTGGTTCATGACGTGTTTCTTTACCGTTTCTCTCCGCAGACCCGTCAGGCTGGTGGACGGGCAGAATTAGAGGGAAGGAAGGTCTCTTCCCGGGTAACTATGTGGAAAAGATTTGATGAGAACCTTGCGAACGTGTCTGTGTTTGCTCATAAACAGATGTAATTCAGCACATTCAGAAACTGCCTGCGAGTTGTTCACGGATGCATCGGGGCTTTCAAAGGGTCGAGCTCTCTGATGTTTGAGCCCCAGCTAATTTACCCGGCAGCGTGCTGTAGAAGCAGAACACATGAAGGATTACTCTTGGGTTTATTATCGCTAAAGCACAACTGCAAATAGCTGCTCAGGTTCCATCTTTGTCTTGGTGTCAAACAATCCCGTTGAGAAAGAAACCAGCGAGGTCTTCGACGTCACCTCTGACTGGTTCCTCCACGACTCAAGTTACGCCGAGTGAAGGCGTGACAGAAGAGCAGCATGAAAATACTGCATCGCTTCCTGATGTTTACACTGTTTTATCTGCCTGAAGCTTTCTTCACGATCAATGACGACCACTTCTTTTGATTAAGTCAACAAGCGTCTAATCGAGTGATAACAGACTTTTGAAAATACTGATGATGATGATGCTTTTGCTCTGAAACTTCAGATCAAATCAAAGCCATTAAGAGGAGCAACATTTTAATGTCAGTTATCTTTTTTATACTCTGAATTTTTTTACTGATATTTCTCGTGGTATTTTCTTGTATTTTCGTTTTAATAAAAAAAGGAAAAAACTTTTATTTCCACGTTTTTACCTCGGGGACTTTTGCACGTGTTTGTTTTGTGTTGCCAGTAAGTTAGAAAAACATTTGTGAAGAGCAGAACACAAAGAAAGAGATGGATGAACTTGAATGTGATTATTTTGGCCAGCTTTGTATTTTTATTTTAACTTGTGGTGGATTTTTGTAAAATATGTGATTACTTTCAGTCATTTTGTTCAGGATTTTTTATGTGAATGAGAAGATTAAAATAAAGACTCCCTCAGAAAGATTTTTCTTTCAGTTGTTATAAAGTTTGACATGTTTGCTCACAAAAATAATATTATGCCTGTTCTGAAACGTAGCTCTAAAGAAAAAGCTCCCAAAAGAGATTTCCTGTTCCTACAAGTAGTATTGTGATATCTGCTCACTGAGGTACACGTTGCTGGTATTAGTTGGACCTTTTTTTTGCCAGCTTTAATTCTTAAAAACATGGAGGCACTGAAAGATGCACAGATTGTGCAAAGATCTAACCAAAATAATAATCAGCCAGTCGGCTGCTTTAAACAGGCCACAGCACAGATCTTTACCCTGCATCTCAGCTGCTTCGTTTAAAGCTGCGCAGCCTGCAGTAATTGGATTGGCCAAAGCCTCCTGATTGGTGCTGCGCCTATTTTTCTCTAAATTGTGAGTGAGATTACCAGCTCATCTGTCTCAGATTTCGTCGTAGCGGTTTGTTTTTTTAACTTTACAGATCATAAACACTTCTACAGGTGATAAAAAACGAGATCACACTGATTTCATCGTGGATTTGATTAAGACTCAAACTGCAGCAGCACAGTGTCACAGTACTGCCAAAAGAGTAAAAATGCATGCACTGAAAAACCGTGACATAAGAAGACAACGTGTAGCCTGAAATGGGAGACCGACGAGTACTTTTGGTAATATTAGGTAACTATTTGTAATTAAATACACGAGTACTTTTTTTCCAAACAATTTCTATCGCGGGAAACGTTATTAAGCCAGTGTGCGCAGTTAATGCTTTCTTTGTTTTGAGTTAAACCATATGAATGCAACTATTTGGAGTTTCACCTTCAAGACTCGGCGTGTTGCCACCACACCTGCTCCTCCGCTGCAGGATTATGCTTTTATTTTGAAATGCGGCAGATTTGGTTGAACCTCCTTTAGGAAAAACCTGAGATTCCTCAGACAGGTGCAGCAGCTACCTGGAACACCTGTTACGGTTTTGCGTGTTTCTTTTCAGGTTTCCTCTGAACCCTCCAGTCGCCTGTCGTGTGTTTACAGCCCGTTAAAGGTTTTTTTGCCCCACATGGTCGTTTCTACGTTACCCGTTACTGCTGAGTAACCGGTTCCTGCTCTTTCCCCGGGGCCTGTAAACTGTCAGTGAAGAAAGAAAAACAAACGAGCTCATTCCAGACATTTTCTCTGTGATGACATATTGTCCCAGAGATTTGAAACCTTTTCGCGTGACCGTCAGTGACGTTACTGGGCTCGTGCTTCGGGATCGCGAGCGTTTCAAAACCCCGCCTCGTTAAATCCACCTGTTGCAGCACCTGGAGCAGAGCAGCAGTGCCGGGCTGCAGGACGACAGCATGGCAGGTAAGAGCCGGTTTCCCATTGAACACCCTGTGATGAGAAAAAAAATAAACTTTTTAATTATTGGGACACTTTTTTTTGTCCAAATATTCATATTTCGGACAAAAAGGTTTTTCCCTGTCAGGAAAACTCCGATGTTTATTCCTCGGCATGGTAATAAATAGTGATTTACTGTTACTTAATATATTGTGCTCAACTACTTTCTCGAAGTACTTGTACTTTATGCTTTTACTTCATCACCTTTACTTAATGACCTTTGAACTCAACTGCCTTTTTTCCTAGTCTAGGTTATTCATACGAGTTCTAATCAACAGATAAACTGGGAGTTGTTTCTATAGATAATGTTTTTCTTTCAGTGTTCAGTCGCCTGAATTACACTGTAGTACATAACAGAGTGTTATGCAGTAATATGTTAGTATTCTGACATCGATTGTTCTGGAAAACAAGTACATATATGATGAGACTTGTAATATTTCATTGTAATATTTCAATAGTATTACAACTTGTACTTAAAGGCGGAGTACTTCTTTTCCCATCGGTAACCACTTTATTAGGTACACCTATAAACTCTGTATTTCAGTGCAAACCCTGAAATAAGTTTATTGACACTGTTAAAAATCTGTAATTCAGATATCAACATGAAGGGTGGCGTTCTGATGACGACTTCCTGTTTAGGCTGCATAATAAATTGAGTACTCTTGAAAGCTCCAGGTAATAATTTTCTGTAGAAAATATCCAGATTCAGTCAAAAACAGCTCCACAGTGGTGAGACTGAAATGAGCGGCCTTGGCCTCTGTGGATATAAAAGTCACTGGGAAAATTTTAGTCCCAGTTTCGAGGCCATACTGAGGTTTAAAAGCAATTCCAGCTCAAGTCCAGTGTGTACTTTTGTGAATGTGAACTCCCCCCCCACCCCCCCTTATTTACACTGTAAGTGTAAATAAAAGCCATATAATAATGATGCAATAAATCAAGTCCAACAAATACCAGGCACCATTCATCACACACTGCGCCACATCTGACAGCCTTCTAGGAAAGATGGCAGGTTGTGTTTTAATAGCACAGGTGTCGTGCAGCGCAGGTTAAAACAGTCGTGGAAGTGTGAAGTGTCCTCATCCTACGCTAAAGGGAACCAGCAATTAAAAGGGATACAACTATGGAAATGAACTTACTGTAGTACCAAAGAGGAATTTGATATTCAAAATGACAAAAGTCGGAGTTTTAATGACCTCTGATTTAACTGGATCGTGTTGGTGTGGTGCACTAATGCTTACAAAACATTAACCATGGAGCAAAAAGTCTGTTTGTGTATACGGCGCCATTTTTATCATGTCATAAAAATATAATAAAAGTGGAGCAACGTACGCTGTCGTCTGAATCGGTCACATTTTCTGGGCTGTTTTTAAGACATTGCTGAACATGCTGTCCGGTTGCATCGTGGGAGATGTAGGCGCCAGCAGGGACTGACATTTAAGTGAAATTGTAAAAGGGTGCGATTGGCATTTGACTGCTGGGTGGAGGGGATAACGATTTCCATAAACCACATATACAAACACCTTAATTTGACTACTGAAAAATGCAGGTGTGCTTGTTACACCAGAGTCAGCGGCCACTGTTGTCCCTGCGTCTCTCAGGTGTTCACTCCGGCGAGGGGATGGCGGGAGTTTTCTCCTATGAGAGTTCAGAAATCGACTGGTGCGAAGACAACTACAGACACTCTGAGCATGTGGTCGAGTCCTTCAACACGGTAAACTGAAAGCTTTTTATTCAGGAGACACTTGCAGTGGCGCTACCAGCCCAACAACTGCAACTCAAAGCCACACTTTGGACTGGTGATCGATTTAATGTTTTCCCTGCAGATGAGCAGCTTCATTTTCTTCATTATCTCTCCCATCATGCTCCACCTTCTGCACCCGTATGCCAAAGAGAGGAGCTTGGCGATCCACCTGGTTTGGGTCATGATGATTTTTGTAGGTCAGTCCTTTCTTTCTTTATTTATTTAAACCAACTTCAGCCGTATGTCTGCAAAATAAATCCACGAAATGTTTTGTGTTTGTGAAACAGGCTGACTCAGTATAGATGAAATAGATATCACAAGAAATGTGTTATCAAGTAGGAAGATCTGTAGCAGATGTTTGAAGCTTCTCTGAACTGACTAGGTTTTCTTAAAGCTTATGACACTAAAAGAAATACTTATTAGTTGCAACAGTAGCCGAACCAGTTTAACCAGTATGCGAGTTTAAATGTAATAACTAAAGCACGAGAAGAGAAGTCAGCTGCAAACTGGAGCTCTGCATGTCTCCCCTGCACTGCTCTTAACCATCTGTGAACGTGCAGTAACACGTCTCACTTTACCCGTTTTATACTTGTCTTCGCCTATAAAATCCTAAAAGCATGAATAATTCGACATCATTCTCTCGTTCTCTCTTCTTTGCAGGGCTTTTCTCGGCGTACTTTCACATGACTCTTAGTTTCGTCGGTCAGATGTTGGACGAGCTCTCGATCTTGTGGGTGTTGGCGGTCGGTTATGCCGTCTGGTTCCCTCGCAGACTCTTCCCTTCTTTTATAAAAGACAGGTATGTCGACCTTGTAACCATTAACCCAGCGACAGATGACTGATCTGTGTTTCGACAACTTAGTCCAAGGTCTTTGTGTCCGGCGTTTATTCGTGCCTCTGCGTGTTTCTAAGGAGATCAGTGGTCTTTCAGGATGATGCAAAACAATAACAGAGCGTTTCCAACACATGCCACTGTGAAACCTTATCCCGGCCGGACGAGGAGCCAGTTTAACAGCTCAAAGGTTCGTCATTGTCCCAAATGTGGTGGTTCAGTCTTCACCTTGATGGACACGGGGCTGTAAAAACAGAGCTCCACCCAACCTGTGTAAATATTTAAACTGCAAGGTGCGACAGGCGAATGAACATTTGATGTGTGAAACAATCCCCCTGGCATCAATAACCTCACAGTGATTTTCCAGTGTTTGATCCAGTGGGTTGCTCCTCCCGAACAGCCGAGGCCGCTGTGATTGCAGGGAAGTGTAATCGTGACGTTTTTATCATTTTGCTTCTGTGTTTTTGAATCAAACAGTATGACTGTGTAATTATCCACATAACCCCATTTTCAAAGGCTCAAGAGTCACTGGACCAACTAATGTCATTTATAATATAAGGATTGTTTTTAATATTTGGATGGAAATGAAGTCTAGAACTCATAGATGTCACCAAATATTGTGCTTTCTCCCTTGAGATGCTCTTCCAGGCTTTCACTGCAGCCACCTTCAGTCGCTGCTTGGCTGTTGAAGAATAGTCATGATCCATTTGCACTACAAACACTGTGTGAGCAGAGAGTACAGCCCTGCACGCTTCACAGTTCGTTCTGCTACTTCTATCGGCAATCACGTGATCAATAAACGCCAGTGACAGCTGTGCAAGCGCTTAGATGTTTTCCTGTAATGTAGCCTTTTTGTTCTTGAATGTAGCCGTGCTGGACGCCTTGTTGCAAACGTACTGTATTTCCATTCATGAAGGCATGTCTTGATATTAGACTTTTACCTTCTGTGGTCTTTCAGGCCTTTTCAGGCATTGCTGAACTGGCCGGATTGTTGATTTGGCCGCTCGTAAAGTTTCTTCACTTGCATTAACATATCTTTGACCGTCACATTAAGAAAGAATTCCTGTTAAAAGCTCCCAAATGATAATTCAACACTGAGTCTCGACTCCAGTTCTTATATCTGCTGAATTTGTCACGACGTGGCCGAGAAGCCAGCCTCACCTGGTTCACCTGCTTGTCAGCTACTTGTCCAGTTACTCACGAGCCTCTGACGACAGCGGCCGCGTATAAAAATGGCAGGACTTTGGTTCAAACTGTCCAACTAAACCTGAAAGTCTACGTTTGAATGTTTTATTTAAAATCTGCATTTAAAAGCTGCATCCTTGTCCACAAACGTGCAGCCCTGACTGTGAGTCACAGAGCTCAGGTGAATGAGTGCACATCGCTGCTCCTGATCCTAAAGAAACAGTTTTTATTCAGGACTTTTTCTGCAAATTCTGTCTTTTATGAATGTATACAAAGACAAATTCTGTTAAAAGGCAGAGTTGGGAATTAGCTGTCGAGTGTAGCAGGAATCCACATACAACACAAAATTACTTTTGGACCTGCGTTTATCAGGTAATCACAACTTTAGATAAAAAGGCCTCCCAGTTATTGCACACGAAGAATGCTCAATGACGAGTTTATTTATTAGAAGTGTGAGTATAGGGAGGACAACCTGTTTTTCAGGTTTTCTTTCATGGTTTGCTAGACTGCTGTAACAATCATGTTTATTCACTTTGCACCCATCCAAGCCAGCCTCACAGAATGCTTTACACAAAGCATGAGGTGAAATCAAACCCGTGAGTCCGTACGGGCTGGAGTACGATGCCAAAATAAAACTAAACGTCTGTTTCAAGTCTGCTTCAGGTGCGTGTTTATTTCTGTCTCTGTGCGCTCCATCGCAGATCCACGTTTTCAAAGCTCGTCCTGGTGATCACAGTCATCAGCTCGGTGTCGTCATTCGTCAAACCTACGGCCAACGCCTACGCGTTAAACTGCTTCGGCCTCCATCTGCTTTACACTCTGATTACGGAGATGAAATGGTAAGAAAAAGACACGTGAAAACCTGATTGTGCGCTTTGCCGTTTGATTTCCTGCGATCATCCATTTTCCGTCATTCTCAGCTGCACTGACCAGAAGGCTCTGCGACTCGCCAAGCTGTCGATCGCTCTGTGGGTGCTCGCCATCTCCTGCTGGCTCGGTGATCGCTTTGGCTGCAGCTTCTGGCAGAGGATCAACTTCTGCTACCTGCATGGTTTTTGGTAAGTCCTGGCTTCCCGTTCATTTCTTTTATTTCTTTATCTTCACTTGTCTGCATGTTTGTTTCATATCAACAAGATGAATTACTGTCTTGATGCATGCTCAATCATCCAGGTCAGTAAATCCCAAAAAGTTGATTCTGTTGTCAGTGGGAGAAACGTTTCGTCATACAGGTGACGTCTTCAGTCTCAGCTGACTGCAGGTTTCCAACCTTTTAAACAGGACATTTGCACACTGACTGAAACCACTGAAGGAATGATGGGCTGTGAGCTCAGTTCCTTGATCATCAATCAAGAGATGCACCCTTAGGCCCCTCCTCCATTCAGAGATGGTCTTTCCCTTTTCACATTAATGGCCTCCTTGACTCCGCGCTCAAACCAGCGTTCCTCCCTGTCCAGGATGTTACATCCTCCTCGAAAGAGTGATCAAGGAACTGACCTCACAGCTCATCGTTCCTTCAGTGGCTGGTTTCAGTCATTGTGCAAATGTCCTGTTTATAAGGTTGAAACCTGCAGTCGGCTGAGACTGAAGACGTCACCTGATGATGACGAAACATTTCTTCCACTGAAAACGTCCTGATGAACAGAATCAACATTCAGATGAATTCCTGAATGAAAATGAAAGATGAGTTTACTGTAACATTAGATCAGCGTTTCCAAACTTTGGTACCGTGAACCCCGACCTCCAGTCTTGGGATCGTTTATCCACCGTGAACGCATCATGAACAGGCCCCATTTTTAGGACAAAAATGGTTCGTGTCTTTGTGTTGACCTTCGATTTATCCGTCCTTCAGGCACATTCTGATTGTGATAGCTGTAGCCTACGGCAGCACGCTGATAGCCTACCTGGATGCCAACTACGAGATACCGTACTCGCTGCCTGGACTGCAGTACTGGCCCTGTGATAGATGGGCTGTTGGATTACCTCACATCGTCCTGAAAGGCAACTCCAAGACTGAGAAACGGTGCTGACGACATGAAAATCTAATTTAACTCTGAAAGAACATTTCTGTTAGTTTACTCAACTGCTGCAATCGTGAAAAAGATCAATACCTGCTTTTCGCCTTCTTACCAAAAGCACATCACCACCAACGTTGTCAACCCCCCAAACCTGACTGACACATATTTTAACACTCGGGTTAACGCTGGACGACAAATAAACCCCGTCCGATCTTAAAAGTGTATTATTTTAAACCATGGCAGGATTACTGAATGTGTACAGCGTGCAAACGAAATCATCGAGGTTAGAAATCCCTCAAATCCAGAGTCAGACGGGGTAAGAGGAGGGGGGTTTCCAAAGCTTCCTGCACTGCAAGACAGTATAACAAGAAAAGATGGCACGTGTGTTTTGCTTTTGCTACTTTAAGCTTTTTAAATTAGTTTAATTTATTTAAAACATGAAAATGAAACAAGACTTGTTGTAATATACAACACCTCTGGGGGGCGCTGTATAAAGCACAGTGTAAATGCGTCAGTGCAACGATTTAAAACCAATAAAGTGTAAAGCAGTGTCAATTTATATATTTAATCAAGGTTAAATATGTTACTTACACTTATGTAAAGTATGAGTTTATAGTTATTTTCATTGTTAGCTATGCAATCGCCTGAAATACAGTAATTAGTGTATCAATTACATGGTCACAGATTACTTTTTAGCCTTTAACTTCATATTTCTAACACAGAAAGTGCAGTACTTTAACTGGAAACTTTGACCTTTATTTATCTTTTCAACGCATGATTGTTTTATTTAAACACTTGCTTGAACAGTAAAAACTATAATTGTAAATTAGTGCTGGAAGCAGAGCCCGGTGACTGCAGAGGGTCAAAGATGGCTGAACTTTTGTGGATGTGCACGTGATAAAAGTGCGGTTTTACTGAAACATGTTTCACCTTTTAAGACAATGAGCTTTATAAATCTGTGTGCAGTGATCTTTAATGTTGGACTCATGTAAATGCTCTTACTTTGTTTATCAGGATACAGATGCACTGTGACTGTATGTTTTGTTATGATAAAATTATTGCTTTACCAAGAGGGCAAAAAAACAAATCTTGGCTTTAAGTGCTACAGAGAAACGTGTTTACATTAAAAATACCTCAGTGTGTGACACCGGTGCGCCCCGTCCTCGTGGCTCGTAACCTGCGATCAGTTTTGTCCCATTTTCAGTCACTAAAATGTTTCAGTTCATAAACTTAAGTTATCTCTCTGAGCCGTTTCACTGGGGAAATGCTGCTGAAACATGACTCAACAGTTCATAACACAAGCCAGGCTCAGAGCAGCCTGTTACACGCCTATTTGCTCTTTTGTTTTTTCCTTAGGTTGAGAATAGCAACCATAGATCATTTATGTAAACAAATGCAGGCATCGTTTTCATTTTAGTGTGCAACACTGACCTCGTGTGGATGAAGAGATGACAGCAGGTGACGGCTTGCAGCCAAGTATCAGAGAAGCATTAATTTCCTTCACGACAGAATAAATTCTCGTGTAGCTTTTTTTCCTGACTGAAAACTCTCCGTTCACTTACAGAAATGTTTGTGCACAAGTCGAGGGTCACCAGGATTTAAGAGATGAGGCTAATCACTAATCAGTATGGACTTTTCGACTTCACCATGATATGGGATTTTCTTTTTCTTTTTCTTTTTTGTTTGTTTTGTAATATTTGAATCTTTTCTTTTTTTCTTTTGGTTCAGCTTTGTTAATGAAAATTTCTCAGATTGAAAAAACGGGAGCAATAATTTACCTTTACTGAAATGTCCCACGGCTAATGTCCAAACAAAATCCAAAGAAAGGTTAAGATCAGCTGGGTTAGATCATTTATTCAGAGAGATACTTTATGTTTTCTGGAAATATATTTGTGCAGATTTGATATAAATTCATCTGTAATTTAAATAAAGATCTATGTTACCTGAGTGAAATCTGTGGCTCATTGTTTCTGGTTGTCTTTGAGTCTCCTGCGACATTTCTGGTTGGTATCTGAGAGTCTGTGTCTGACAGCCAGATGGGATTTTCTTCCTCAGATTTAATTGAGAGGCAGGCTGGATCAGTTTGAGTGGAGGGAGACGAAGAGGAGGCACCAGCTTGGTGAGAGAGTGGTGACCTTCTGTCTGGCCGAGGCCCCGGTAATCTCACTTCAAAGTCCGAGCACCGCAGAGACTTGACTGTGGTGAGCCTTCATTCCCATCTGTATGAACGAAGAAGAAAAAACAGTTTTCTTTGTCAGATGAAACATGACATGGACATCTGAGGCAAAGTAATGTGACCTGTTGAGCCAGGGGTAACATGCATTTGTCGACTGAAATGCAAACTGTCAGGATTTTTGATTAGTATGTTAAAAGTGTTATAAATGCAGGGCTCCAATGTTCCCATGTTTATTATTACCACATCACATGATATTAGTACTTCTACACTAAGGGGTCACGTGCCAGAGTGGCTGATTAAACGAGAGAAAGAATGTATGCAGGAAGTGAGATACGAGCCAAAGATGAGACGAAAAAAAAGAAATCAGGAGAGCGAGTGTGACCTTCTGAACAGGAAGCCAGAAGTCTGTTTCCTCACTGGGTCCTTGGGAGCCATGAGTGTATTTTAAAAACACTACATTTATTTGATGGTTCTGACGATGTTGAAGAGATTGTGAGTTTGTGGGTCTCAGTGACATAAACGCTGAAGAAGTGTGTTATTGAGCTTTTCTGTTTCGTGTTTTTGCAAATAACCTCCAGGAGTCGTCATTTACAACAAAGATAATGTTCCTTACAAAAAACGATCATTTTATACAAAAGAACTGAGAATCAAAAGTAGCTCATGCCTTCCTCCATCAGCCCAAACCGCTGCTTGTCTGTCTGTCTCTCTGTTACCTTGTGTTGGACTGGTGCACTACACCTCTTGCACTAGAAACTGGAAGAGGGTTCCCAGGTGATTTAAAAAGAAAAAGAGGGATGTATTGAAGTATCATGGTTTTCCAATATAATTTTATAAGTTTCATAAAGTGTTGAGTGTTTGTGATGTCAGATTGGAAGTGAATGGGAGTAGAAAGAAGAGCACAGAAGAACTGGGCGGAAGGCGGAAACAAAATCTGCAATATGTTGGATAATTTTCAGCATTTCACTTTGGGAATACACTCACTGGCCTCGTTCTGGGTACACCTCACTGGCACCAGGCAGGCTCCTGAATTCTTCATGGTACAGATTTAACACCATGCTGGAAACATTATTCATTTTGGTCCATGTTGACATGATGGCATCACATAGTTACGTCGACTATCAAAATCGTCGATGACTAATTTAATAGTCGACGCGTCGTTTGAAGCTTTGTAAGATCCCAAAAGACGCAGGAAT